TTTTCATTGGCTTTGCCATCATGGGTTATGAGCCATTATACCATGCTCTACAAATATGGCTAGCGTATGCATGTTTTTGGGGGGCATTTTTATTTTTATTTTAGTCTTTAAGGCGATTTTAATAAAGAAATGATTCCACTTGTGCAGATTATTATGCACTTGCCAAATGGTTTCTTGTGCACTCTCAGATTTTCTAGATCTCATCTGCAACATATGGTACATTTTTCTTATACAACTAGGAAAACAGTGCTCCATTTGAATAAACAGACAGCACCACATGAAAAACTTCATTTGAATGGTCATGTGCTAGAATTTACCTACCTGTAGTAGACTAAAAAAAAGTTTGAAAGTTGCCTAACACAGCATAATAAAATTTGGTTACAGTGGAACCTCAGTTTAAAAAATCTCTATATAACAAAGTCCTTGGCATAACAAACAATATCCTTCCTGCCAGTAATAGAAAAATATATGGAGAAGAACCTTTGATACAACGAAACCTCATTATAGAGAACATGTTTTGCCGGTCTTTGCCTTCACTGTATCAAGGTTCCACTTTACTTTCTGTTGACTGTCATAACATTATTACCAATACCTCGTTACTAAGACCATCTGCCGTCCTGAGACTAAGCATGAAAACCTCTTCTAATCTGTGACAAATCAAGGAAAAAGTAATGATTAAAAGAGACAATGATCATAATTCAACACTGATTTTAATTTTCATAAAATATTATTGATAGATTTAGTTCTAACCTAGGACTTTTTTTAGGCTAAACACAACCAAGAAAATGTATGGACATTTTGCTAGGGTGCAAACTGTATATTTATATTTTCATGAATTATTGGAGTGCAAAAGAAAATATTTCTTTTAATAATTTTAACTTACATTACAAATTTTGTTTGTGTTATCTGTGTTCTGGTTGCATGGCCTCTTGTTTCAACCTAGAAATGAAAGACAGACAGTAGTTGATGGGAAGTATTATTTATGGATAAATGAGCAGCTAATCATTTTCAGCAGTTGTCCACAAAATTTCAGTTAAATCTGGTCAAGCATTACCCACCCATGACCAGATTTATTTAAGAGACACAAGACAAAGTGAAACACAAAAGAATCACAAGAAAATCCGAGAAGATTTGCTTGCCCAAAAAGTTGTAAAGGTTTGAAGCCCTGCACTTGTTTTAATCATCTCCTACATTAAAAAAAAACAACTAAAAAACAACAACAACAAAAATTATACATCACATTGCGCACTTCCAGAATATATCCATACTCCCCCAACAGAAGGGATTGGAATTTCCTGGGGGTGGGAGTGGGGGTTTCAGCAAGACCAAGAAATTTAAAGAAATTTGTATGAAGCCTAATTGGAATTTCCTGAGGGGTGAGGGGTTCTAAGAAAAAATTCCTTTCACAGGGGAGATATGGATATTTTCTGGAACTATACATTGCCTTATATGATGACCACTGCATTAACAACGAACTACATGTAACTAATTATTTTTAAGCATTATAAATTAGACATTTGCCTCTTTCATCCATTGGTTTGGTTCTAGTGTCTGCACTCTTGCTTGTCGTGTTTCACTTCCACTTCCATAAGGAACAAATCTGTTAATTAACAGAAGGGAATCATTACTGACAATACGTGAATGGGTGCCTGGAAAAAAGCCCTAAGTGACTACTGATAAATTTCCAGATTACCTTTATGAGAGTTTGGCATTACATCAACAGTCACTTACAACAGGTCTTTATTCTGCACAATACCCCTTCAAGTGATGTATATTCAGTTTGCTCATACACCATAAAGTTGAAGTCTTTCAAGCCCTTCTAACAGCATTTGAAATCTGTAAATTAAATCAAGCGGCTACAGCTGTAGTTCAGAGTAGTACCTCTAACTTGTGTAAGGTGTATTGACTCTTTCTTGCAATATTTGTCTTTTTCCTGCTAACCTGTCACACCAAAGGTTCCAGTGTTTGAGAAGGACGTAGTGCTGAACATTGTGAGTTGACTTTTTGCTCAAACTGACATTTAATTATATATTACCTGCCATGGGCCCCTGGCCCCACTCCAATGTACTGAGTGCCATTCCAGTAAGACAGGTTATGCCTACTCTCTGCACCCTGGAAAAATAGACAACAAGTCAAAGCAACAGAAGATTAATAAAACAATATTGCAGGTACATCATTAAATCACTTAATAATTAATAACATCATTTTATTGTAGGCTGTTCTAAAGGACATTATTATAATTTAAGTGATAAACTCAATATAAATAAATGACAACAAAGCAAACAAAGGAACAAGGTTGATTAGATTGAGACATGAGAAGAAAAAAAAAATCATTAAATATATCTTACTGGTCTTGCAAAGTTTGCCACTTCATATCTGTGGAATCCATTTGCAATCAAAGTCTAGTGAAGAGAAAAGAAACAATATAATGTATCCTTATTTTGTAAATGCACTTCAATGGAGCATGTCAACAATAAACAACCTTCAGCTAAAACACTTTTGTTCATTATTGTGTTTCTCTGTTGGCACTGACCAACAAGCAAAGATACAACACTGACTAGTCAGGAATTTAATTAACAGATCATCTTTACTCATCGTAAGAATGTGCACATACACTGTGCACAGAGCAATGGATCACATGTACTTAACTAAAGGCAGATCCACGGTCAAGTATGGATTGAAACCCTTGATTGATAACCTCAATCAACATCTTGATCAGTACTCAGTGAACATCCCAATCGATACTTGGTCGACTCGGATATCGATCAACACTCAACCACGGATGCCTTTTGTACACATGATGCGAGCAATTCACTGAAAGAGGGATCAAGCTGAGAAAGAAATGGAGGACGGTGTACTTTGTTTTTTTTTAAGTCTGATGTCCAGGATTTCTTTACCTCTACAGCCAACTGGTACATTTCAGCTACAACATCAGGATTAGGAAGTGGCTGCCACAAACAAACAAATAAACAAAATAAACTACTTCCAGTGATGCGATCGGTGATAGACATTTTCTATAAGATTTTTGTAATCTGATACGTTTTGCTGTTTCTAAATTTTTGGTGGCTTCTGTCCACCTTCGTTAGAGAATGTGCAGATTGCAACGCTGATGAAGGCCCCTGGGACAGATTGAGAAGCCACTGAAAATTCAGAAAAGGAAAAACAGATCAGATTACAAGAATCTTAAAAAAATAAATAAACTGTGCACGGATTAAACTACAACAAACAAACAGAGTGTTCTCTAAATAAATACATGCATACATTTACATTTCAGCTAAAACAGAAAAAAAAAAAAAAGAATTGCAAACAGTTCAATAAAACATTTCTGAAACATATAAAAAGTAAAAAATAAAATAGCCAAAGATACAGTTATTAGTTTTTGTAATAATTATTTTGTTATTATCCGCTTACCAATTTTCCTGATTTGACACTCTTAAAAAGTGGTGTACCTCTCTCAAGAGTCAGTTGATATAATGAAATATGATCATCGCACACAGATAACGCCTGACAGACAAGATCAAATATAATTGACAAGTAGTCTTCAGTAATATTCACAGGAACTTTAATTTTGATATTCAATCATCATTATGACACTTAATTACTTATCAGATTTTTTTTCTGACTTACATGGGACAGCTCCTTGTTCCAGTCATCTAGTGTTTGGTGTGGTTGCCCAAACATTAGGTCAATTGAAACTTTCCCAGGGAATATGGATCTTGCAGTCTGTAATGCTCTACAAAATCAACATTCATTCTAATTTACAAAGTGGCTCAAGATTGCCCAAGCTGATTATACAAGGTTCACTGGATTAAAAGTCATCATCACAAGATTGAAAATGAACTCACTGCAGTGAATCTTTAATGGTGTTATCTCTCCCCAATACAGTCAAATCTCTCACACTGAAGGCCTACCAAAAAAAGTATTTACCAGTACTGGAGAAAATATAATAAACTTCCTTGATAACTTATTTGAATGTTACAGCGTAACATAAACAATGTTTTTTAAGTCTATTAATCGAATATCTATAAACATTTTATAATATAAAAGAGAACATTAACCTGGACTCCGAGTGAAAGCCGATTGATCCCAGCTGTATAGAAATGTCTAAACGAACAGTAAACAAATAATGTACATTATTCATAGAGTTTAAAGTAAACATAAATAAGTTTGTTTTCTCAGACCTGACATGATGCACTCCAGGCAAGGCTCACCATATTCAGGGGTTTCAATAAGGTTTGTACCAGGTGGAGCATCATGATGTGAGGCGCATGCCAGGTGGATTTTAATACTTGTAATTTTGACACATTTCAGATAGGCTTTCATGCAGAACATTTATTTTCACAATCAATGGGCAAATTTGCTTTGCATTTTGAAAATACAAGGGCAATAACATGTACTATTAAGCAAAATCCTGGTTTCTTTGCCTTAGAATAAGCTCGACTTTTTAGTGGACTGTTAGACACATAAAAATAACATGAGACAGCAACAATACTATGTAAAATATTGATGAAGCAGCCTGGCAAAGTTCTGTTCACAGCGGGTCAATTTGCCTGGGGCCCGGCCCTTAATGAAACCCCTGCCACATTTCTATAAATTACAAACTACATTGTACAATCGAACCTCCACTTGCAACCAACTCTCATAAGCTACATGTACCACCCCTTCTCAATGACCAGTTTTCTGAAATGCCAAAAGTTTCCTAGTCAAATCAAGTGTGCTATATTCGGATACTCTTGTAAGCGGCCCCTTGAAACCACCTTGAAATTTTCTCAGAAATTTTCTTTTGTTTTTAACCTCCTGTAAGCGGCCACTTGACAGCTAATAGAGAGGAAATTGATAAGGTGTTGTAACATTATCACACTTGGGACATTCAAGAGACAGAAATTTATCAGTGGAAAGTACTGGAATTTTCTTCTCGAAATTGACTTTTCACATGAATAACACAGTTAAAAATTTAAAGAAAAAATGCATATACACTGTATCAGTCGTAAAAGAGATTACCTTATTAAAAGTGGTATAATTACAGAAAATTAGAAATGATATCCCTATGCAGTTAATTACCACATGGTAATGTCTATGAGGCAGAATTTTGACCCAATATGGTCTAAGGTCTTGTATACATAAACAACCACCTCCATTATAAGCAAGCACTCAGGCTTGACATTTTGGTTGGTCGCTTATGGGAGGTTTCACTGTAGACTTAAGAGGTAAGGAAGAAACTTGTACATCCAAAAACCCAGGATATGTTTTGTTTGCCTTTCGGCAAGTGGAAGTATGAGTTCTAGGTAGTCTAGTCAGTGGGGAAGTAGATAAAGAACTCTCTTCAAGTCTTGACCTCCTCTCAACTTTCAAGATATATAAATGTCCAGTAATCCTATTTAAATTTAAAATATTTAAAAGCTCTGTAGACTAACAAATAAGCAAATTGTGAGGTGCAGTCTCCAATACTGAATTTTGTGCTCCAAACGACTGACTTGTAATTGGAACAAGTGCAGCACATGTTTACAGGGTTTTCAATAAGTTTTGAAATAGCCATCTGAGCCAACTAAAGTAGGTGGCAAACTGATGAATTGTTTTAATAATTTGAGTGAAAATACAGACAAAGTAGACGACAGTAAGAGGTAAATTCTGACAAAGTAGGCGGCGATTTTCAGTGGTTGCCGGCTTCCAATGAAACCCTGTGTTTACTATACAAACTTGCTATATATTAGTCCTACCTGAGGTTGTCAGTTTCAGCTGAGGTGGGATTAGCCTCAAGCGTCACTTCGGCTTCATTTGACAAATGGCAAATCCTAGCTGCAGTTTCCAGCACTGAGGAGATTGTCAAAGGCTCTGCTAGACTGGGTGTACCTACATGTAGTAAGCATAACACACCATAATATTTATTAAATATGATTCAGTACTTCTATCTGTTCATAGATCAATTTTAAATAATTAGAAAATAGCCCAAAGAAAATATTCTGGCCTTGTTTGTCAAAGGCTGCCCAAAGCATTCCAATGTTAAACTTTAACATGGTATAAAAAGAAAACAAAGCGATCTTTGAGAAATCAGAAACACTTTTGAAAGGCAATGTGTAACAAATCAATTCCGATATTAATCACATTGCTGTGATAATTGAGGTGTGTAACCAAACTTGATAAAGGCGAAAGGGTAAAAATTGCTTTGTAGTGCAAAATTTCTGTTAAACCTTTTATATTTTCAAAAAAATAAAAAAGACATCTTCCTATTCCTTATAAATTAATAAGCTTAAAGAAAATGTATACTTTATTGGGGGTTATTTTCAAAGCCTCCGCACAAAAACACGCTGACGTAAGATGGTCAATTGAGGTATACTGATACCTTAAATTAAAATTAATGTTGAAAACAGCATCACTATTTAATATTAATAACAGTTCATATTATTTCATAGTTCTGCTGGCTCACATTTGATAGTTCAATATATAACACTACATTTCTATGCAAAAATATATTTCCATTTAGTTTACTGCGGAACCACTCACCTGTGGCTTGTGGTTCCACAGCCAATTTGACAATGTTATGATGCAATTTATCATCAATAAGAGGACAGACAGATAAAAAACTGACGCCAATTTGTTAAGTTTCAATTTATTGTACATATACTTTTCTGATCTAACCTCCACCAAAGTAAACTGAGGAAATCCTTTTCACACCAGACAAATGTAACAGGGTTTCTGTTTCTGTCACAAGGCATTTCCGCATACGCTGATGGTTCACATTGTTACTAGAGGCAGAGATAAGACAGAAACAAACAAAGCATTAGTCAAACAAAATCTGTTTAACATGCTGTTGTTCTTCGTACTCATATATATCAGGACCTCTCTACAATGGCTGCCTACAATCATGGACAAATTTGCACTTGGGGCGCTTTTTCACATGCGTTAAACAATCACGGGAAAATGCAACGATAGTTGCCCAGCCTCCACCCCACCTACAATTTTGGACCATGTACCCATAACTTCTCTTGAGTTTCAACATTATATTGGGAGGGGAGGGAGAACAACAGTGCATTTTTAAGAGGGTAGCAGTGATTTTTTCAAACTTAGGATGTAAAACACAGATATTGAATTTGTTGCATTACATCAGTGTCCCGTGGACTTTTGTCCACCACTGTAGATAGACAATAAACTCAGGTGACTCCTGTAGAGTGCTTAGACACAGACAGAAGTGGATCAGAACACTGGATAGAGATGCAGTAGAGTGTTAAGTTTGTTGTTCTGCATGTATGAAACGAAGAGCCACTCAATCTGTGAATATGCCACACTCACTACTCATCCAGTAAACTAATAGACCCTATTTATAAATGACTGACAGTTAAAAATTATTTTGTAATTATAAAAATTAGCCCAACTAACCTTATTTTTGGGTTGATAATTCAAAAGAATTTTTATTCTCAAACGAGGTTAGTTGGGCTCATTTAAATGCATACAAAAGAATTTTAAATTGGCAGTCATTTATGAATAGGGTCTATTAATTGAAATAGTTTATTTTGTCTGCACATACCTTAAATATTTGTTAAAATTGCAAAATGTACAGATCTGCCTGCAGAATGGCCACTACAAATAAAGAGAAACGATAATAAAATAGCTACCATTAATTAAGCTTATTTGTACTGTGTGGAGACAAATTACTGTAGTACTGTGTAGTACTAATGTGTCTAATGTGGTAAGTACGGTAGCGAACGTTTTGCAGAGATTTATTAAAATCTAAGCTTATTAAATTCCGCTTTACGACCATACGCCTTTCGAAATACTTACATGAACATACAACGTAGCTTCATCGTTCTCACTGCAGCTATGATCTCTATGATCTCTTGGATTGGAAAGAAATCGGATTGTGTTTATTAAACAATATCGACGCGTTGTACTAGTATCACCTATTTTTGAAAGCAACCGGGATGTGAGTAGTTTGCATCTTGACGTGACGCTCATTGGGTTCGATCTCAAGCCTTTTTCATGATATAATCTGGAAGTTATGATCGCAAGCTTGGTCTGCCAAAGTTTCAACAACTGCAGGCACTTTGCACCCAGCGGATTCGCACATATGTAACAACTCAATGTGTGTAACAACCAATGAAAAGTTTTCCATTCTGGAGCCGACGGCATCCGATTCAGCGGTTATATTTCCAACATGGCGGACTCGAAGCCTCGCGAAGATGTTTTCGAGGTTTTTGACTCTGGGGAGGTAAAAGGACGAGGATTAAGAGCTTTAAAATCCTTGGCACCTGGGGATAAAGTACTGGAATCTACCCCATCTGTCTACGTTTTGAGTAACAGTGTCCGTGGGCAGTGCTGCGACTTCTGTTTTGCCAAAAGCGAAGATCTCCAGCGCTGTTCAAAGTGCAAGTTTGCTCGATATTGTAACCGAGAATGTCAAAAGAACGCTTGGAAGGATCATAAAACCGAATGCGAACGCATATTGAGTGTTTCTCCGAATATTCCCACTGATCTGGTGCGACTAATGGCGAGAATCATGCAACAGCAACAATTACAGTCTGGTAAAATGTCGTCCATTTACACCGCTCTTGTTTCGCATCAGAAAGAGTTTGATGATGAAAGAAAAGAGGCTTTTTCTGCCATCGTAACGGTACTTAACCAATTTGTTGGCGAGAGGGATTTTCAGAAAAGCTCTTCTGGTGAACTGTTTAATCTCTTTGGCAAAATATCATGCAACAGTTTTACTATATGTGATGCAGAGTTGCAGCCTCTCGGTATGTACAGTAATACAGTAATATCGGCAACATTATAGGGGTGCAATGTGCAAACTAAGACCTAAGACCCCCTCTGAATTGCAAAAACTAAGACCTAAGACTCCCTTCAAATCTCAAAAACTAAGAGCTAAGACTATCTCCAAAGCTCAAAAACTTAGACCGAAGACAACCCCCTCTGAATCTCGAACAAAAGAAGCAGAAAATGTTTTTCTCACACACATCTAGGAGTCTGGGTGTTAGTGTGCGGGGGGTCAGGTCACATGGTTTGTCGTTGTTTGCCAGTTTTCTTGTTGCTTGGTTCAGCTTGGCATTTCTCCCAGTTGTGTATGAGAAATTTATATTTAATATCATTGAAGTATTGTTGTTCTTCTTCTCTGGCTGCTATCTAGCTTATGTAGTTTTATTTCATTCTCTTTAGGTGTCGGCATCTATCAAACTCCATCTCTCTTGAACCACTCATGTCTTCCAAACTGTGTTGCCATTTTCAATGGCACTAAACTCCTTGTTCATGCAACAGAACAAATCAAACAAGGCGACGAACTCGCAATAAGCTATACAGAACTGCTTTGTCCAAGTTACCAGAGAAAAGAAGATTTGAAGAACCGTTACTTGTTTGGATGCAGTTGTTCCAAATGTCTGTCTCCTTTGGAAGAAGATGGACTTATGCTAAGTCTGCAGTGTTCTAATTTTAGCTGTAATGGAGCAGTACCAAGAGATTTGTCAAGTAATATTTTCAAAAATACTTCAGTTATCTTCAGTTGTTAAAGAGTCTGAAGTGGTCAGATTGCCAAGATTTTTGAGGACCAGTGCTCATATCAGTCAGACATGTTCAAATGAACACTTTGACATTGAGACTAATATGGTTATGATATCTGTAAAGAATATTTCTTTACAGGTTCCCTGTCAGGGTCTCTTATGCACCTTTAGTTATATTTGCTTTTTCCTCAATCTCCAGGTGGTGGTTTTGTTGTTTGCAATACATGTGGTAAAGGACTATCAGACAAAACTGCAGCAAGTAAAGCACAAGCCATCATCTCAAAGTCAGAAGAAACATTAAAACAAATCAAAGCTTTGGAAAAAATGTACAACTTTGAGGCTATCCTTGATCTTGCAGAGAATATTCTAGCAGAGCAGAAAGGTTTCTTTCACAAGCTGCACTTCAGCAGGGTCGGCATTCTTGATAAAGCTATGGATGCATGTATCTATCTTGAATTGTGGGATAGAGCATTGGCATTTGGACTTCAAACAATGGATGCTTACAAGCTGTATTATCCAAGAAACCATCCAAGTGTAGGCATTCAGTTGTTTAGAATAGGTAGGTGATCAAACCATCATCTATTTGATTTGTAAACAAATTGAAGCGATAGCTGCTGATCTGGGGGAGGGGAGACTCACATTTGAAAAGCTTGGGAATGTTTATCGGAAAATTTGTGATTTAAACTCCGACCTAAAGGAGACCAATATCTGCATGGCTTGAGCTTTATTTGACTCATAAAAGATACCACCTATTGGCTCAATTACCAGCAGCTTTTCGGCAAAGGAGCCCTTGTTAGTAGTGTGGACTCAAGAGACCCACTGAAATCGAACCTAAATTAAAGTGGAAATAAGGGCATTTTTTGATTCACATTTTCACATTTCTTGGAGTGCACCCTAAAAGATACTTTGACAGCGAGAAAAGTGCTGTTTCATCACAAACACCCTAAGTGAGACCAGAATCCTGGATTTATACCCCTAAGCGAGATGACGAGCATCCTGGACCTTTTCATATGGGAGGCCCCCCCCCCCCCCCCCCCCCCTCCCCTTTCCTGGGAGCTGATCACGTGACTGTATGTTTGTTATTGGCTTAGAAATGACAAAAATCTGAGACCATCATGAAATTGTTTCTGATGTCTGAGGCAGCCTGTTGTTTCATAGCATCTACTTGTTTCAGATAAAGATAATGTAAGGGATAGACCATTATTTTTTTAAAGGGAGGAGAGGGTGGTTGGGCAATTTTGGAAAAAAAATTCTTGCACAGCAAAAACTGCTGAAAAAAAAAATTGTGCAAGGGGAGCCATGGGGAAAAAAATCGAGCAAGTGCTTTCTACTATCCAAGTCCTGTGTTTGACTTTAAAAAAAGTTCTTGCAGAAGTTACTGCCCACTTGAAAAAGTAGTGCACAACATAAAGGTGAGAAAAAATTTCATGAAAATTGCCCAACCGCCCCTTCTCCCTCAAAAAATGATGGCCCATCCCTAAACTGTATTTTGGTTCCCCTCTTTTTGTGCCCACTACCTGGAGTGAGTGAGAGCATGTGGGTTGGGAAGGATAAAGACAGTGACAACAAACTGTGGGGTTTTGTCAGATCGCCAATCTCTGTGAAACAGATTGAATGACATGTTTTAAGTATTCCATTGTCACTGTTTTGCTATAATCAGTGCCTTCACTGCCAGATGTTTGTTCATGTAGCAGAGCACAAAAACACCTTATTTCAGTCACAAATTTACTAGGTGGTTTAAATAAACAGTTTTACACAGACATTCCTTGTCCTACTTACTTTGTCTTTTACAAGAAAAAGTCAAAACATTTATGGTGATAAATTGTGATACCCAAGTTTGTTAAAGTGGTTTGCACTGTATCCGTTTACATGTAGACAAACAAATGGCGTGCTTCTTTAAAAATACTTCTGTGAGCCTACATTAGGTACATTGAAAATGGTTGGCCATTCAGTAGCAGCTATTACCAAATCTAAATCTGAATTTCAGGCAAACTCCAAGTATATTTGGACAAGCTAAAAGATGGTTTTCAGACTCTACTACAGGCAGAGGCTATTCTCAAAGTTACGCACGGGAACCACCCACTTGTACAAGAACTGCGGGAACTTATTGCTCAGACGTTAGAGGAACTAAGGGTGGAACAGAACAGGACAGTTCAAGGAATGGAGTTAATATGATTTGTAATGTGAAGTATGTCAATTTGCCGCAGAACTGAGCATTTGGTAGATATGTGATTTTATCAGCTTCTTGCGGGGCTTGTAAGGTGTGCGCGCAAAAATAAATGTGTTAAATCTCAGGGTGCCTTGAAAAACCACCTTTTCCAACCCTTTTCAAAGTTCATACTTCCGGTGAAAATTAAGCCTGGTCCTCATATCCCGCCGACCTACCAGCGACGTAGTCACCGGTTGCAACTGACAACGTTCGGCGATCTGTCCCAGTAGGTCCTCGGTGCACCTGCGATGGATCGCAGATGTACTCAAATTTGCGCGAAATGCAAATCGAATTGGCGCAATTTTCAACCATTCCACCTGTAAATATGGATCGAATCGTCTTTCTAGAGTACGTTGCGTCCGCGGATGATGTTCACATAAAATATTTTCACCGCTGACAACCGCCGGCTTGCCTGCGAAGTTGAACTCAGCTCAACTTCACAGGCAAGCCGGCGGTCAATGCCTGGGACAGATTTTGATTCGGCGATAAATATTCACATATGCCGTAACGGTGTTCCAGGCCCAGGTATGTCCAGGTATGTCCTGGTGTGTCCCAGGCCCAGGTTGTCTCAGGTATGTCGGTGGCATATGAGAACGAGGCTTTAGCTGGCTTATTGTTTCTGCGGTTTCCGGGGTGGAAATGAAAAATTTGCAGAGAACAGAGTAGTGCACTTTCTCGTCTCGCGGCTACGCCACGCGAGCCTCTGCTCTGCGCGTACCTGTGCTCTAGAGGCCGCCATGCCTCCCTCTGGGAATGAGACTCGCTGTCAGTCAACCCCTCTGTTCATTCAACTCGAGGAGAATGACCACCATGTCATTTATTAAATAAATCTTTTATTAGCTCAATGAAAGACAATCTACAAACCATAGGAAATGGAAGTCTAAAATGTCTGACAAAGTAACCTAGTCTATGCGCTTTCTATATCTACAAGATATTCATTATCTATGCCTTGGAAGAGACAATTTACATCTCTGGAATGAACAGGCCATATTGGTATCCTCGGTAATGGACTGGAACTAGCGTGCAATTGAGGATGAGCCTCCATTGCAAGCTAGTTCCAGTCCAATACCGAGAATACAAATATGGCCTATTGGGTGACTCTTTGTGACTTTGTACAAATCTCGTGTAATGCCCTCCTTTTACTTATAATTTTTCACACAAAGACGTTCACAAATAAATGTGACGGATTTTAATTTACCTTCTGATGAAGGAAGAAAACGTTATTTCAAGTTCAGCAAGAAGCTCCCACAAATAAAAGGCATTCATTAATGGTAGTCATTTTCAAAGCACAAACAGAAAACACCCTCGGTAAAGGAGAGTTCACATTTTTAGAACTTAGTACACGTATGCACTTTGACTAAGTTAGAGGTGGCAAGCCTTTTAGGAAGAACTTCTTACTAAATGCATTTGTAATATGGAGACAAAACTGGAGGCCGTGACTGTGAATGAAGCCATATTTCCAAGCAGTTTTGAACTAATGATAGCTAGCTATTGAACACCTGGAAAAATCTGCTAGCGAAAATTAAACGTGAGAGGACTATGTAGCACTAGTGGAATTATTCCTACTTGGACCACAAACGGAGGATAAAATCAAACATGATTAAAATCAGTGTCCACACTACGCCGGAGAAATTTGAAAACGCAGCTCTATTTCGGCTACGGTTTGGCCTACCGTCCACTCTAGTCCGTCACGAAAACGGAGCTTTTCGAAACGCTGTTCAAACAGGAGGAATTTGAAAACGTCGGCTTTTCGTTTTCGTGTGGACGGAAAACATTTTGAAAACGGAGCTTTTCGAAAACGATGACGTCACGATAATCATGTGATTTTCCTGACCGAGTTTTCCTCAAACACAAATGTGAAATGACCGGTTATTGTAAGTTGCGTTTCCAGACTCCTCGGGCGTAGTATGTACTGTGCTTAATTAAGGGAAAAAACGAACACTGACCCTTCTGTAGAGCTACAGGAATGCACGCCTTCGCTTTCGATTATATTAATTTTACAACTTGCAATAAATAAAGAATTAATACAGAGCTCAGTGGGTTATGTTCTTCACACTGTTCAGTAGAAACACCTTTCAAACATCTTTTCTCAAGATAATGTAGGAAATAAATAGTAAGTTTAAGGTGAAATATTTCTCACGGGTAGCCGAGTAGGTGGGAAAGTTTCCAAACGACTATAAAGTCCAGCAAATTTCAAGCGATGGAGAAATGCAAGGAACGTAACAGCTCAATATTTCTTACACAAATCCCCGAGGGAATTTTAGCATCTTCAGGTTACTTCACTCAAATTCCCCTCCACTAAACTATGGTGCCAATGAATCAAACGTTTTATACAGGTTACATAGCGAGAACCAGAGAATTGCATGTTCGACGTTGCCGTGAGGAAGAATGTAAGAGTGAAAGCAGGATTGTTGTACTGAAAACTTCCGCTTTTAGGATAACAGAACACTTTTCTCAATACTTCACCTTCCCTTTGAAACTCGCGAAAACAATTTCTCCTCGACTCGTGAGTCTTTCCATCCGATATCCTTTGAAAGAGTAAGTCAGGTACAACATTTTGGCAGAAATTTTCATTTCTTTTCATCGGCACTTTGGATAATCATATCTTTTGATTCTCGTAACATATCTGCGGGAATATAGAACAGTAATGTGTATAGAAACTCGAACGGTGGTCTTTGCCAGCACTAAACATGTTAAAGCAAATTCTTAAGTTAAGGACAACAAAAAAGGAGCTTTCAAACTGGTAAACTCCGCACGGACAGCAATCTGACTACAGTTCCTTGCCACAGCGCTGTAGTACCATGGTTAACTTGCTCCTAAACTCAGTAGTTCGTCTATCGGCACACAGTTTTGGTTCAAATATTAATCCTGATATTACATATAGAACAGTAATTAAATAATTTAGCATGGATTTATAAATAAATAGCTTTTTCAGAACTGGTGTGGCCTGAGGGCCAGATTAGTTTGGTTGTCCTTTGTGAAGAGGTGAATGTCATCTAAAAATCATAAACGCCAACAAATAAAAACTTGCATACGCGTAATTCTGGGTTCTGGGAAAGAAAACGATCGAAGTTCTATTTTGCTACTTTTGCTATATTTTCACGAAAAGCTTACAATAACAACTTCAATATTTAGAGCGGTTTTTCGTCACTAAAGTGTCGAAAATCTTTCCATCTGCTTTGTTTTTGCATTACTTTGCTTTGTGATTGGTTTAAAAATCTCGCGCCACTTTAATTTTCTCGTCCAATCAGAAGTAAAACCAAAGCCAATCGCGACTCGCCAGACACCATTTTCCCGCGCTTTGTTCCGGCTACATATATAAGTTTGGTTCGAGTTTTCATTGGTTCAGTGGATTGTCTAAGTCCTTTGTGATTGGCCAGAGTAATTACTTTGGTTTTGGTTTTCGGACACTCATGGAGCGGTTTTCAATTGAGTGTCGGTAAACCAAAACTATAGTTATCACTCTGGCAATCACTAAAGACAGAGATAATCCGGTGAACCAATCAAAACTCAAAGTAAAACGTATCGAGCTAACGCGAAGCGCGGGAAAACGACCGGGAGCGAGGCACGGTTGGTTTTAGTTTTGGTTTTACTTTCTGATTGGATGAAAAAGTGGCGCGAATTTTTAACTCAATCGTGTTGCACAGCAGTGCAACACCAACTACTTTTCGACGCTCAAATAGAAACCACTTCAACGCCGAGGAAAATTTCATGAAGAAACAATTGTGCTGTTTTCAGCCTTTCCCAGTTAAATACATAAATTTTATACATGCGCAGAAAATACAGCCAATAGGAATACAGGAAAGCCTTTGTATGTTCGACGGTATTACACTCAGACCTTCCCATCGTGGGCCGCATTGACTGTGTTAGCCACCTAAAGGTTCGTGTCCATACCGCGAAAATACAAGTGACTCGTGCGATATATAAACAATAGCCTCCATTTGGCACGAAAATATGCTAGGATATTTGTCCGCGGACATTATCTGTTCCGAAAGGCGAACAGTTTTCCGAGAGCGTAGCTCGAGGGAAACTGTGAGCTTCGGGGAACAGATAATGTCCAAGGACAAATATCCGAGCATATTTTCACCCCCAAATGGAGGCTATTGTGTTTATTTTTCTTCAAATCTTTTTCGCATCGCGCGCAGTTTTGAAAATTGGGGAATGTTCTCGAATATTCCCCAGTTTCAGCTGGGGCATATTCGTTCACGTGACGTGTTTAGACCAATCGCGCGCCAGTGAAAATATTTGATGGATTATAATCCACGGTATAGCACTAGAAAACGTTGAATAACTAGAATATACATGTATACTCTAGTTGGATTAGACCGAACACAACGACCATGCGAAAATAATCTGGCTACATTGACAGAATCTAAAACGTCCGTTATATACATGTCAAGAAACTCGTGAAATAAATATAGACGAATGTATGCAGTCCTCGTGGATGTACAGTGGATAAAATCTTGTGAAGTTATTTGTTCATATAATATACCGCTTTAAAATTTAAGTATGTCATAAATTACCAAGCACGAAATTAACACGTAAACGAACCACAAAAATATCAAGAAACACCCTGACACATATTTGGTCACGCTTGGTCCTCCAAGTTCCGCTCGGCCAAATAATTTCGTGTACCTTCTAACCAACAGGAGAATGAAACATAGAATCGCACACACGCTATACGTGACAACACTTATGGATAATGTTCCTGCGTTGACTTTGAATGTAGTACCCTGGTAGGAGAGAAGAAGAAGAAAAAAGTTGAGTTCATGTAAGTTATATACGCAGCGACATTTTTGAACTTGCACAGAAAAGGCATCACGCTAGACACGAATTGACTAAAAACATTTTAAAAGAGCTTGTGAAACTTAGTAATCAGTGAATTGTTTTTGTAGCTCCATCAGAAACTATTTTGCTCATGCTAATGAAGTAAATATTGTAAACAAAGATTCTCTTATTGTAGAGGCTGATAACTCATTGGCGCCAGTGCATATATCCGGACGATCGCCTTTTCTCCTACTTTTCTTCGTTGATTTTTTTCCCGCGACGTTTCGACTAATTTTGAGCTTTTAAACCCTCGTCGCATCAAAAGTATTCAATACATCGCCCTCAAATTCCTTGGGACAGNGGGGGGGGGGGAGAGGGGAAAGTCAAAACCCTACCTACCCTACGAGGATCAGTGTTCCTGCACCTTTTATTGTATCCAGGAATGACGATAGAACATTAGCTTGAAATAACTACAACCACAGGAATACCGAACTAACTACATCATAAATATGATCACCTGAACTTCGTGATAAATGGTAGCAATCACCCACGGCGTCCCCAGGCCAAGGAAAACATTGACCGAGTTGCTGCCAGTTACGTTTCCAACAGACGCATCCGCGTACTTCTCGTTCACAGCTGCTGTTTTACTGGCAAATAAGTCTGGAAGACTGGTTCCCAGTGCCACAAACAAAATGGCGGTCGCCTCGGGTTCGAGTCCAATCAGGCAGCCAAATATGGTGGCCAAGTCTCCCACTATGGTAGTGACCAGGCCAATCATCATCAGCGCCACAACAAAAGTCAGCCAGCCGCCAAGCCAAGTACAAGGGGGAACGAATGCAAAGATCACCTGTTGGAAAGCAAACGATGCTGGTTCATAAAAAGCAAACAATTAACAAAGAAAATGAAAGTTCGTTAGGTGACCCAGATACTTAACTGAAAAAAACACGTGGTACGAGCTTACGTATACAGCTCAATTCTTCATATAACCACGTGAGACAATCTTAATAGGATAATATCTTGGCCGCACGGGTTTAGCCAAGCTGGATGGCACATAAACGACCGAGGGGCAGCCTCTTAGCGTGATCTCTCGTAACCTTTTTAGAAGGAAATCACTTTATGACGTTGCGACCTAAGAATCTAATAATGCACGACGTTGCTGGTTCTATCAGCTGTCTTCAATGTGTAATAAGTACTGTCTATGCCAGGTAATATCAGACTCGTACCCAGTCGCTATTCACGTGGTTTGGGGAGGAGAGAAGATTGGATATTAGAGTGGATTAAGGCCCGCGGGGTCCTTCCCTCTACCCGCGCGTTCCACTCGATCTAGACCGCTTTCTCTTGGAAAAAAATCCAATCTTACCCTTAAATAGCGACTGGGTGCGAGTCTGAGGTAATAATACACGGATTTACGAAGAGCAACACATATTTTGTAAAATTTCCACATCAGCCCACCTTCCAAGCAAATGTAAAGAAGTGCATGACGTAATCGAGTGTTGTGGCATTCTCCACATCTCCGCCATTAACTGACATGGCTTCTCTGAACTGCGCACCCCATGTCTCGGATCCAAAGTCCAGGCGGCGAAGGTTAAAAGTTGCCAGCGATACAACCCGATTAAATAACTGGCGATACTCTAAAAAACACAATCACACGAGCAAATAAGAGTCTGTTCCGAGATATTAATATCCCTATTATACCATTCTTTTGCTTTGGGGTCAAATTCGTTCTCATTTTAAACTCTTACCTTATACTACATCACGATCAGCCTGATTTAATTTTGCAACCCTATTCCAGACAAGGCACCAAAACCCCTAACCTATCCCAGACCAGCTATTTCCATGCAGAAACCTTTATCACCATCATAGTCCAACATACTCTACACGACCCCGGGGGAAAGAACCCTGTTCTAGACTGCATCATTTATACACTGGCCACTTTCACGGTGAATTATACCCTTTTCTAGACCAAAACTCTCTGATTTCTATACCGTATCCCAGACTAAACTGCCTGAAAACCATACCCTTCATAGCGGCACATGCCCACATAGCTTATGGTATGTACCCACATAGTACACCCACATAGTACCCCCGGGGGGTTAAACGCCTTTTTAGTGATGATCAAGTCCTAAATTTCTGTAAACAACTTGTTTACTCAACATTTATATTTAAAAGTTGAGAGATTCCAGCAATTGATCAGAATAGCAACGGCCTCGCTTACCGTCATCATGTACAATAGTGACTGCCGCGCTCCTTATACTTCCAATTCTTGCTCCCTCCGACGTTTCCACAAGTTTCACCAGAAATGTTTCGTCTTTTTCAAAATCTTTATCGTCGATAATGTCTATTGTAATGTATTTTACTTGCTCGCCGTGTTCAAAGACCAGCGTTCCAGACCCCCCGTGATAATCCTTGCCGTTTACCGCAGTCTGGTCCATGGTTTCCCACGTGACCACAACCTTCCCATCGGTACCTTGGGTCCTCTCGACTTTGATGGGAGCTTTTCCGATGTTTTCCGTTATGACGTAGCTTGGCCTCTCCAGTGAGAAGGTTCCGGGTTCTGTAATGTGATGGTGAAAAGACAAGACACTTAACTCTTACGGTGCCTCTCCAACCAGGTATATAAATGGGTACAGGCGAATTTAATGGTGGGGGATAACACCACGATGGACTAGCATCTCATCCAGGGGGCAGTAGAAATACTCCTAGTTGCATCATGCTACAGAAACCGATACAAGCTCGGGCCTGATGGGCCACTTGGCTCGTATGCAGACTTTACCGACCCCCTCCAACTCCCGGCCCCGACAGGAGGTAAACAACATTTCCCCTCGTTTGTCCAAGAATTGTGCCTTTCTCCGATAATTCTACAACTTACCATCATCATTAATAATAGTAACTTCAGTAATGCTTTGTTCTCCTATTTCCACCGTATCATCATTGCAGTCAAACCTAGACAGCTTTAGGAAGAACACTTCATTTTCTTCCCATTCGTTGTCATCGATAATTGTGATGTCGATATGTTTCAGGGTTTCTCCAGCTTTAAAGACGAGAACATCTTTTTTGGCCTCGTAGTCCGAACCAGACATGGCTGTGCCATTGATGGTTTCATAACTAGAGAAATGAAAAACAGTCGACAGAGCGCTGGATTCAGTTTCAAATTGCGTGTATTGCCTCCTAGGAAATCAGATTGCGGTTCAGAGATACCCTAGATCTGCCAAACATTTCGAGATTTTCTGGCATTTCACGAAGGTCTCCGAACATCGACAACTATACTCCAATTGCTCCAAACTAATTTTCGGTGCATGGCAGTCACAAAATGAGAGCTAGAAGGATCACTACTTTATTAGTGCGAAGCGTGTGAAAATATTGATGGTGGGTCATGTTATAAGCAAGTACAAGCTTCAAAATAATGGACAGGTTACACTTACTTCACACTCGCTGTGATTTTCGTGTTCCCAGTCCTCTTGACTCCAATGCGGACAAGTTTCTCGTTTTCATAAACAGCACACTTCGGAGCAGCAAATTCAACGCGAGCTGGCGGAACCTTTCCAGCTGTAAGAAAAAAACAAAAAAACAAAAAGGAATCACAATGTTCACTCATCCGTTTCGCGGCATAAGCAGTTCTCTATTCTTAGCACTTTCAATCAGTAAAATAACTAAGGGATTGCTGGTTTTTATGCCTTTGCTTTAAAGTTCTCCGCCAATCAAATGCAAACCTTGAAAAGCAAGCGGGAGTGTTGTGACCTGCATGGGTTACGCGCGTTTCACGTGTATGGTAGAATGTAAGTCGATTTGTGTCATCGGAATCCTGGCACGTTCGATCAGGATTATAAAAATGGGTTATTGACCAAGCGTGAGATCAAGATGCCTGGATATTGGCCAAGTTCCCTTTTCTGCGGGTTTATGGACCGAGACGGAGTTGAGGTCCATAAAATCGCAAACAAAGAACGAAGCCAATATCCACCCATCTTAATCGAACAATAAATCTTGGACAATAAAGGATTTATTACATGGCTTTCCGGAAAATATTTCTTGTGGGACACAGCGGGTAGTCTTGAACGGGCATGATAGCGCCATCTTACCCACTCGGGTAGCCAATCACAGAGCGGGATTCCGTTCATCTTGCTCGCTCACGGAGCTAGCCAACTAATAAACTCAGTTCAGTGCTAGCAGGTAAGAATTTAAAAACCAAGCTGTGTCATTCACATCGGGACATTGCACCTACCTAAAGCGTGACTCATAATGACAGAAGCGCCAGAAGATGAGAAACCAACTTCAGATAACTCTTCATAGATCTATAAAAATAAAGCAAGGAGCAAAACGGTTAAAACCGATCGAAAGAACACATAGGAAGTCGATTTTCCGAGTTTTGTTAGGGAAACACTACCTGCAGCTTGCGCAGTGCTCTGAAAAAGTGACTATTCTGATCAGTAAGTTCTGAGTAGAAGTACCGTTGAACACCGTTATTTCGAACTCCAAGGGAAAAGGAAAAATAGCTTGAAATAGCCGACAATAAATGACTGAAAGGCAAATTTAAGGGAAATGGTTTTAAGTTCGAATTAAAGGGGAATTAATTCGAGATAACCAATTAAGTTCGAATTAGCGGGGACCAACTGTAGCTATTGAACCACAGTCGTAGTTTCTCCCGACCAAACCCGAAAAATGGCACCCTATTCAAGGAAAAACAAAAACTAAGAATGGCATCAACGGGTCAACTTTCTTTCTTTTCTGTAACATTGTAAGTTAGGCATTAAGCATATAATTTGTTTTTCGTTAAGCTGGGCATTTGCACACTGCAATATTAGTTAATACAATTTAGGAACCCTATCTAAGGATCACATCGGGAACACAATACAAACAGGGGCAAAAATGATACACTGTTTATATTAAGGATCAGGAACCTCAGAAACCTGCCCTACATGTAAGCCAATAAATGGGAGTACCTACACCCTTCCCGGGTAGAAAAGACACTTTGTCATGTTATAACAAGCAGTGTACCGTATAACTAACTTACCACTCTAAGTTTAGAATCCATCTTTGGTCTAAGCTTGTGACTACCTCCAATATCTCTTATAGCACCCACTCGGTAATAACCATAGTTCTTTGGCTGTTTGGATTTAATATGGGCTGCAACAAGTTTGGCAGCATCATCTTCTGAGAGTTCTGGATTTCTGCTAACTTCCTGAAATGCAGAATAATTGTAAACTAGTTCATAACTGTTCTTTTCCTTTTCAAATTTTTTTTGCAAGTATATATCTTCCTTCTCCCTTAGTCCATCGAACAAGAAGCGAAAAAAAACGTTGCGTGACATCCCAAAAAACGGCTGCGAAGGAGACTACATCGAGACGGGAAATTCTTACCACGAAGTAGTCAAGTGTAGTTGAGGGAAATTTTGCTCCGAGTTTTTCACTCAAATTTCTAAGCGTGTATATTCCACGCTCAATTGACCAATCACCCTGATCTGGGTATCATTGGAAAGATCTTTTCCTGCCGCAAAACTTAAGGTAGCCGAACACAGTTTTCGCACGCGCTTTTGCTGATGCGATTCAGCGCGCGCACAAGGATTGCAAAAAACAANAATTCTGGATATTCCAGTGAACCTTCAACAAGGGATAATTAAAGATCTCTCTGTTAAATTATTATCAAAATGGTGTTAACTTGTGAGTATTGTTACAAGCTTGCTGCATGCAAATTATAAAGAAAATCTAATGACTAGATTTTCTACAAAACCGACAAAAATGATTTTAAAGGCCCGTTTATATTTATTCATGTTGCCATGGCAACGGCACATACGTCAGCTAAACTATCAAAAAACCAAAGTTTGTGTTGTTAACTTGGTTGCTGCCAATTTTGGCGACCGAGGGATCAAGGGTTTTAGAGAAAAAGGTGTAACTTTTTTTAAGAGCAACTCAAAATTAGTTAAATGGCCAAGATTGTGAGTCTTGTCTTGTCAAATCGGAAAGTTATGGCTTCCCAAAGTGAGTATAAAATGTTGCAGATGTTATGACGGGAAGTTACAGTACCAAACTCTCTAGAATTCCCCGACTTTATCCATATTTGCGCCATTTTGAAAGAAACGTAACATCGAAACTTTGCCAATTTAAGATGCTCTTTCCAGCAATGTCAATGTATTTTCGCTACTATGGCAATATCTAACGTTGATGACAAAAAATCGTGGATAGCTTGACGTTTCTGTAATTTTCGTGGTGATTTCCAGAAAATTCACGCGTGTTGCAGCAGTTAGGTTGTCAGCGGTATTGCGTATCACTCGTGACCAGACGGAAGAGTCGACGGAAGAAGAACGATTCTTTAGACAACGCAACACAGATTGATCTGCTGGGAAAAGGATGATCGTAAAAGATGGAATGAAGAAAATGTAAGTGATTTATGATAGCTCATGATCGCGTATGTATGCCATATTCCCAAATTTTAAAACAGGTTAATCCCTTCTTTTATGTTACTATACAAAATACGCAAACAAATGCACATAGCAACTGTTTGTAAAACTGTAGAATCATGAATTCAACTATTTACCTTTATAAAACTCGTGACTTCTGGGTCATGGGTACATTTGGGTGTAGACAGAGCTTTGGAACCCTCGGCTGTTTATGATAGAAAGAGAAAAATTCCTTTAGTGTTGATGATGTTCCTTCCTGTTTTAATTATGCTTCACCCTCCCCCTGAAAGAATACATTTTAACCTTTTCTTACCCCCCAAGACAAAAGTTACAACAAACATGCTAACAAACAAATTTTGTACAAAAAAGGCTAAAACAAACACAAGCAAAATGTAGCACAAGGAAAGAAATTTGTCAAGTGGAAATCTACACATATCCTATCTTTACAAATTAACATAGAAACTACATGTACAGTTACTCATCAAGTCTCACACTTGAAGCGATCATCAAACTGTGCCCTTAGCAATAGTTGAAACAAAATTTAAACTGACTCATAGGAGACATGTGGAGTGATCCTGTTTCTAATTGGCTGCATATCCTGCATTTTGTTACAAGTGTTACCTTTGTTTAGAAGAATAATGAAAGTGAGAAGTGGACCTGTGCCATTTTCAGTTACACTGCATATCAATATTAATTGTAGTTCAGCTTGTCAGTGTGGTGGATTTTTCCAGAGGTAGATCTAAGACCTCTTGTACTTTAGAGGGTGGGGTGTGCAAATATTTTTCTGACCCAATCATGCCTTAAATTTAGGTGGGAGCCCAAACATTATGTGTCCTCTGATTCCCTTCCCAAGATCCAGCACTGGGTTTTCTGTCTGCAGCCCTACTTGAAGCTGTTCTTCAAACTTTGTCACAACTATCCTTACTAGAAACTATAGGCTTTTTAACAATGTTCTTGATGCCGACATTCATAATAAATAAAAATGTAACCATGTGTTAAATTGATGCACAAATGAATTAAACCAGACTTAAAAATTTGTAAGGTAAAATACAGCTGAACCCCACTTATTTCGAACTCTCAGGGAAAACAAAAAATAGCTAGAAATAGCGGGATTTCAAAATAACCAACAGACAGTGAATGACTTGAGGGCATTAATCTAAGGGAAATGGTTTTGAGTTTGAAATAACAGAGAATTCAAAATAACCGAGTTCAAATTAGTGAGGTCCAACTGTATCATAAAGTTCAAGTTTGAAAACCTTCAGGAAATCTTTCACTGTCTAATTCTTTTTACAGTCAGTGTAACAAGTACATTCACTACTTTGAAAAATGCTTTTTCAATTTGTAAATAAATATTCTTTATAAACGATATGTTAAAGACCTCACTGAGGCATTATCTTTCCTGCTGACAAGTTAATTTTTTTTAGTTATCAATATTTAAAACCTTTTCTCCTATATCCATGAATGAAATAATAATTAATTGTGACACCCACGTTCATTTCAGAAGTTGAATAGATTCTGCTCAGTTTCCCTTTACAAGAACTGAACTGTGTTTTGGCTGCACTGAGTTGGTTTCACATAGAGGCCAATGCAGAAATTTTGTTATTTTTTAATGCAAATATCTGGATAAGATGTAAATGTCAAAATGTCAGAATGTCAAAACAAAAGTTGTAAATCTATATCATTCATTAGCTGTGTACTCTTGACTATTAATTAGGGATGACAGCAATATTTCTTGACAATCTGTGAACTCTTATGTTGTGTTATCCCACTGGTTTGTAAACTCAAAAACTACATATTTAGTAATATTATTATATTACATTAGATTTCCCTCTTAATCGTGGTTTTATAAACTTGTTCTATACTCATTTTCAATATTTACCATGCAAAAGATAAATTACTGTCTGACGAAATTGAACGTTTGTCATGTCAAATCTTCCAGACATAGGCACTTTAATAAAGTTACAATTAATATTTGCTTGAGCAAGAATTATTCCCTTCGAAAGATTGATCTTGACCTCAAATCCAGTTTTATAACATTATCTATAACAAAACTGCAAGTTCCAAGATTGGCACTACAAAATAACTGTGTGCAGCACCTGCCAAAGCAGTTATATATTCAAATTCAACCTTAGAAAATAATAAACATGCAAATGAATTGGTGACATGTAATAGAGGAGGGGTGATGAATTACACTAATTAAGAACTGACATTGTTAATTGACAACTTGTTAATGTCCGTTATTTTTCAGGGAAAGTACACTAAATAAGAATGTTAATTTAAGACCACGTCTAATTTTCTGTCACCTTAATAAATGGCGACTTTTTGCAACCCACATTTACATTATTAAAAACGTCTTTTTTTTTTTCGGCAAAACCCACAGTTAATTGTTGACAAGTGACAAATATTCACCACAATTATGTTTGCGCTAAACACCTGCTTGTTGCTATGTATCTAGAGTAGATTTAATATCTCAACTTGACTGACTTTATATTCCGAGCATCGTTTTGAAACATGACGGTATTGACATTACATTGTTTGTCATCTGGAACAGTCGTGTCACAGCAACCTCCTTCCACCGAATTAAAATTGCACCAAAGTATAAGCACGGGTCTTTTATTTTCCGATCGCAGGAGATGGTTATATGTTAGCATTCGATTGAAAGAATTAGTGGTCTCCAATCCAACAATATTCTAATATGGTAATGATCCCACTTGATAATGATTTCTCGCAGGAGGACAGCTGAACAATTTCTTTATGCGTAGTCGTGCTAGCAACCAATATTAGAAATTTCTAGCAATTTCTCGTGTTTTGGCTTCTAAGTTGTGAGTAGAAACACACTAATTTTCAAAACGTGCAACTTTGTTGGTAATTAATGACAGTATATTGAATAATACGACAGAAATTCGACGGAATGATAATTGCTTTCAGTAACACAGCAACCGGTGTATTTCTCACTTACACACTTAGCAACAAATTTCTCGAGGCGAGTCAAAACATTCAACGAGTTAATCTTTTATTTTGTTCTCAAACCGGACAAAAATAAACTCTCAAGGACCAATTTTAGCTACTAACTGGCAACATTTTGTGAACTGTTATCACGTACAAGTTGTAAGGTCAACATTTCAATCTATATTTAGCGCTTTCCTGAAACTTAATTCACGCAAAATAACATGGGTAACGATGTTGTTTTATTTAAGCGGTACATACCGAGTTCGAGTACTCCAGTGTCTTGAGGAGAGACTTTTCCAGGGCAGCAATATTCCTTGTCGGCCATGTAAGCGATTACAACCAAAATAGGGAACAGTAGAAAAGTTAAAATTGCCTCCCACAATTCGATCACGTTCTTAGAACTCACGCTCAAGGCGATGTAAAGCCATATGTAGGCCAACATTGAGAACGAAGCGGTAACCGCGAACACTTTGATCGCCTTGATTCGGCGCTGTTCATGCATAGGAATACTCATAACACAAACTCCAGTGATTACAAGAAGATTGAAAGCCGCAGACCCAACTATCGTGCTGGGTCCGAGAGCACCAGCTTCGAACTTATTTAGTAAAACGATCTCAATGATCGCTAGTAAAATTTCCGGCGCTGACGAACCCAGGGCCATTAATGTCAAGTTAGCGACAGTGTCATTCCAAACTCGAATTTCTACAACTTCCACTTCTGTAGGATCATCTTGTTTTGCCACCTTTACCTCTTTCGTTTTACTCGTTATCGTTTCGATAGCGCACATAAAAACGTCGGCGATGATGGCAATGCCCATGAAACACCATAAAAGCGCTATCAAGTAGATAAACGTTCGTAATCCTTGATTCCAACCAGATTCGTCCAGAAATGGTAACAGCAAAGTCCCCTCGGAGCAGTTATCGACAGCCATAGCGTGGAAATCGAATTTTGTTGTGTGCTGGTCTGAACTGTGTTAGCAGAGTTTATATCGATCCGTTTGTTTTCGAAAAAAGTCGGCCGCAAAAACTAAATAAAGCGGTTGAGTACGAGTCGTAAAATACTATACGTACTTATCACTGTTGAAATCTACAGTTTATAAAACAAATTTATCCAACGCAAATCTAAATTAGAACTTCGTGTGCAAGGACTGTAGGCTCGTGCAAATTACAGGCAAGATATTAAGTAAATGCAGTTTAGCAACCGGGATGGCAGTATTTTCTGCTTGTTTGTACACTCCGCCGTAGCCATCATCCTGTCGAAGAATACTTTCGTCTATTAACACAAGCCTCGAGGAGCACAGAATGTGATTTCCAGAAGTCTTGATTTTACCTCCATCGTAACCAACACAACTTGGTCTACTGCTGGACCAAGACAGTGGTAATTTACATCAATTGTCCGGCACGGTATTTGACAGTTGCTAAGCGACAGAAGTCTGTTAAATGCATACATTTGACACCTTATTGATATCATTATTTGATGCTTTAATTTATGCACTTTCATGTGGTATTGAAAATTGAACATGAAAATGATTTGAAAATATCTCAGTTTCGTAAACGTTTTTCTAAACATTTTTTATTCATTATCAGCCCTCAAATAAAACTGATGTCGGACCAGGTGTTTATTTACAGCTAAGTACAGCCAAGTGCGCTAAGTACATGTACAGCCAAGTGCACTTGGCTTTGGTGGCAGACGAAAGTGATCGAAAATCCGAAGAACCGACTTTTCAAGCTGTATTTTCTTGTTAAGGTGGTATGCTATTTTCTAGACACCCAAGCCTTGTAAATAATAAAAGATGACGTGGAAATTAACAGCACAACACGGCAATTTATAAACAAGTTTTACGTGCAAATCAGTTTTCCGTTTCCAGCCACTTGAAGCGTCCCTAAAAACCTAAAAACGTGTGTTTACTGATAGGTTTACATCAGTATTGCTCAACTTCACCTATATTGATGATTTTCTTAAGAGTGATTACCATGCGTGTGAAGCAGAACGCTTACGTAATTAGTACAGACCGCGATTACGTAGAGACGAGAGATTCTTTTCCGTCTTACTGGGTTTTGTTTTGAGAAACAACTGCCAATTGTTTTCGCCTGCGGGGCGCAGGAGGGCAATCAGTCTGCAGAAACCCCCGAGTGCTCAAATCCCGAGCGGACAGCCAGCGAGCAGACTAATTACTGAACGTAAAATTTACACCTTGAGGCAATGGTAAATTCAAACTAAAAACTAAAAATTCAGCAGTAAGTCGTGTGCGTCTTCTCTCCAGCTAATTAATATAACTCTCGTCTCTTTGAATTGTGAGCCACGCGCGGGGGCGTAGTTGCGTGAAATCATCTGAGTTGCCGTGATGAATCTTCACCATCATACCCTAAATTCCTGTTTCGTTTGAACTGTTATTTTTAGCTATTTGGCCTCTTTGGTATTTATTTATTAAATATTACTTTTTCAACACCGTTAAATAAATATTGCACTGTTTATTAACGGTATTTTATTATTTGCGTGGTGCATTCCTTGCGTAATAAGTTCCGGCAAGAGAACGTGAGTCTGTTTACGTGATGCCGAGGGAGTTACTACGTGATGGTCAAAAATACATAGCGGACATTTTGATGTGTTATATCCCTGTTTTACGAGTACGCTTTTGCTTTTCACGAGATTTTCTTTGCCTCAAACCAAACTTTCACAGTATTTTGCGTTGAACTGATAAAGAGCCTACAGGGAAGCGAATTAGCAGAGGTGAATTGAAGACCCGTCAAAGACCCTGTTCGCCTTCTATACTCTAGTCTGAAAAGTCGAGCTAACTTGGACCAATTTGGGCAAATCTATGACAGCAGCGGCACAGATTTTCGCCCGTCGAACCCACTATTTTGTGAATAAAAACGCTACCTGCTAAAATGAGTATCCCCGAGCAAATCATACGGTATATGCATTGTTTTGATTTCACTGTGTACAAAGTCAGTCATCTAGTACCCGTTCTTATGTTCTTTGTGGCAAATAAACAGGAGTACCCGTCGGATCCGCTCCGCAAAATATCCGCTCTGCAGACTAAAGTTGAGCTGGCTGGGAATGTTAACATTAAACAGAATCTTGCTGAGAATTTAGCTTATCGAGAGCTACAATTGTAGCTAGCTGGAAAATTTTTTTCGGTGTTCAAATAGCTTACATTGTGGTTTTACTAATCAGTTCTGCTTGGAAATTACATTCCGGATGCGATC